GTTCTTTGAATGCGCTACACTCAGAGCAAAAGCAAAAAAACCAGAAATATTGTTGTGTTCCAAAGAATCAGAGGCTCAGGAAGTAATCAATTTCCACCAAAATGGTGTTGTTCTGCTGCAAAAATAAATATACTGTACAATTAAAGCGAGGCAACAACCCTTTCAATGCAAACAAGATTCCAAGCAAGTAATATTATCACTGAATTCATGGAGTTATTAACTGACTGAGTTAATCTGTGAGTTAATGTGCTTTTTTTGGATCAAAGCCTTAGAAATTTTGACACACCTCTCTCTGTAGGAAGAAAACCTGGATTAGCTAATGTACCCTTGTTCTATTAAAAATACAGCCATTAAGACATTTAAATTAAATATGATTAGTCAGCTCTGATTAAAACCTCAGCATATGTCGAGTTTTAATTACAGTACAGTAAGTGAAAGTCATATGCAACTTTGCTTAATGCTGCAGTGCTCAGTGGCCATAAATGTCAAAACCCACAAAATTAACTTCTCTCCACATGCAAATACTCCAGGAAACTACACCAGGAACAAATTAAACACATGAAATTGTCTTGTTACTGATCTGTTATGTAGTTAAAATAAAGTGGAACCTCTGTCATACCAGCAAATCTGTTCTCCTGTCCCCAGTAAGGAATATTTTCTGCCTTTCTAAAATTGCACCCGTTCCAAAGGCTAAATTCAGGCAACTCTAACAAGGCCTAAGGATTCAACGATGAAAAATATTTCTTGGAAAGCTCCATCTGTTATCAGTCTACAAGAGGACTTGTAATTTGTGAAAAAACTCAAGAGTGCTGTCTGAAAGGGGGCTGCTCATGCTCATCTGCTGCATGTTTCCAAACACTCACTGCAAGCATCTCACTTTAATCTGGGAAGCAATCACTGAAGTGTCCTGCTCTGCCCTTTAAAAGCAGTGATGCAGCAAGCTTATGAAAGAGAAAAACAGATAATTATCTACTAAATACTCATTGCAACCTGGCAGCTGCAGAGGGAAAAGCTCAAATGCACTAGACAAAGCAAAAATATATAAGATATATGAGATATATTATTATTATAATAATAAAAAGAGATGTTATTTCTAGTGAGAGATTTTAAAGGGGAAAAAACGTTAGGTTTTCAGCAAATAGCAATAGTATTTAAAGAAGCAATGGAAGCTAGTGAACGTGGAATGCAGCTCTCTGATGCCAACCAAGAACTTCCCAAGACAGGAATTATCAAGAGGAGAACAAGTATTTTGAGGCAGTGGATTGAGATGGACCCTCAGGGTGGCAATAGATGAGTGCAATCCAAGAGCTGGAATTAACCAATAAGGAAAGAATCCATGAAAACCTGGAGGAAATTACTAAGATATAGGGAAACAATTAGAACAAGGGCAACTTTTAAAAACTTTTCTTCTTGTGCAATGAATGAGCCAGTGGCTAAACTAACCTGTTTAAAATAATTTTGTTTTTCAAGTCATCTTAATCAGCAACTTCCCCAACTTCCTAAAAGCAGGAATGTCTCAGTGCTCATAAATACTCATAAATAACGAGTGGCCCAATCCATTTGAGTTCATTGATTTGACAGAGGAGAGAGAAATCACATTATCCAATGGAAGTATTTGTGGCAACACAAGTGCAGCCAGAGAGAGATTATTACAATGAGTTTTTTGAACAGGGGTCTAAAACTGCGCCCAGAGCTAAAATCACTGTGGCATATATCTGTTCCCTCAGATATATCAGTTTTACACTGACATTTACAATTTCATTAGCTTCAGTGGCACAGATTTAGGTGGAAGGAGGGTTTCTTGGCATTTGAATATAAAACACACCACGCTGGAAACACCTCTCGTAAATATTTCACTGCATCTATAAACTGAAAATGTTAGACCCCTCCTGGCCATGGAGCAGGAGTGATTTAAACTTGACAGTACAACCTGGTATTTCCTGTGTCCTTGTGTCCTGCCCAGCCCCTTCTGGTGCCAAAGTGCAGCCTGAGTGGAGCCAACAAAATCACTGTAGAACAGAGATATTTGGGTTTCACTGCTCCCACACCAGTATAATATTGCTGGCGTTCATGTAATTACCTCTGATTTCCTCTGGTAAAAGCATACAGAAATGTATGGAACAGATATGGCCTCCAAATTAGGACAAAATCCTTTCAAATTAAGGAAAAGTCTCACCATGCTCGTTTTAGACTGCACACTTTAGTGGCACCTTATAAATATTTATGAAGTTCATTAACGGACTTACAATATTTGAGCTTTAATTGTTTAAGGACATTAAAACTTGATTTTAATAGAGGTCATATAACTTCTGGATTCCTAGTTTACCAGCTCCAGACCTTTAAAACTTAATGGCAATGATGGGTTTTCCATCATGGGGTCAGAGGCATTAGCAAATGCAATTTTCCAGACCCATCTAAAATATCATTAATTCTGTCCTGTGCATATAAACTGATCTGAGTTATCAGAGTCATGGTTTGTTTAACACAGGGCAAATCCTAGACTTCTGTCTCCTATTCCTCAAATAAACTCCTCAAGTTGACAAAAGCAATTACACTGGGACAATATGAAGTCACATTGGGAAACTGTTGAAAATCACAAATGAGGTTAATATTCCACTATAGGAAAGGTTTCATTAAGTACCCTTAAGCCCTGTCCTGTTTTTTTGTGCACATTAGGGAACTTTGCCATGTTCCAAACCAAAAGCCATTTTGCCATTTGTGGCATTTTACACTTACAGAACTCTACTACTTGATTTAGCTGCATTTTCTGCTCTTGAAAGTCAGCAGATTCTCTTCAGTTCTTCCTGAGTAAATAGATTTGTTGTGGTTTATTTCTTCAGCTGGAGTAGGTGGGAGAAATTTTGATGCATTTGCTCTGTTTCATTTGTGCCACCAGTTAAAGGAACACATTTCTCTGGCCATTTTAGAAAGCTTTTATTGCAGCTGGCTTAAAAAGTTTTAGAGGTGTTGTTGCTTCAAGGATGTAGTTCCCACAAGAGTAAAACAATATATAGCTCTTTCTACCTCTTGTTCTTTGGCAGTGTAAACAGGGATGAAATTTAGCAAGCTCTTATTTCAGTCAGGAGTTTCATAAAGAAACCCTCCCAAAGGGATTCCCTCATCTTTGAAAGAAGCCAGCATGTTCATGGTGTGATTTTCTAGCTGTTTCCCACTGCTCTGCAGCATTCTGCAGTGGTGGTAGCACTCCCCTACTTCGACAGCCACTTTTCAAAAATCACTTTGCACTGTTATTGGAAAGCAGAGCCTGGTCTTCTTTCTAAGGCAGATCCTTTCATGTTCTTAGTGGCATTTTTTACTGGAAAAATTCTTATAGAAATATCTTCTTAGAACCTTTTAAGATCTGTGGGTTTTTAAATAAACCCATGAAAATCTGAAAATTTATATCAGTGATAAGAGAGATGCCTGTAATTGAAATGCAGCTGTGATAGAAATAGAGCTGGCACTGAGATTTCGAATTCAGGATGGCTATATATTAACACACTAATGTTAATTAGTCCATTAGCAATTAAGTAATATACTGACATTAAAATAAAATTAGTAAACTAAACTGTGTCTGAATAAATGGAGGTGATGGGGAAAACTCATAATCAGCCAGAATAATGAAAATTCTAGCAGAGACCAACTCCCTGGGGAAGGCTTCAGTGGAATAAAATGCACTGATCAGCAAAATATGGATCAGAAAGGATCCCTGAAGATCATCTGCTCCAACCTTCCAGTAGAAATGGGGTTTTGCAAAGAACAGGTGTTGTCCACCATGGCTTTGTCAATCCATACCTTTAAAATCTCCATTAAAGATTCCTAGAAATTTTGCTTTTGTACAGCAACACCTCACTAGTGAAAAGGATTTTCCAGCATGCCCATTCTGAACCCCCCAAATTGCAGCTCAGGGCTGTTCCCCTGTGCTGTTCAACCAGCACAGAAGAGTTTGGCTCCACTGCCTTTGGCTCTCCCTGTCAAACAGCTGAAGGTTGTTCTCAGCTCACAAAATTCCAATTCCAGGTTCAGTGCCTGTCCAGGTCCCTGGCCAGCCTCAGTTGCACCCTCCCTGTTTTCCAGCAGGGCTGGGTTGATGCTAAGGCTTCCTCACCCTATTTTTGGTTCATCTCCACAAGGTCTTCACTGTCCCAGTCCTCAAGACCCCTCTGAGTTACCTCCCAGCCATTTGGCAATTATTGCTCCTGCTTTAGAATCCTCCACAAACCTATGGAGGGTACACTGTGTTTTTCCAGCTGTGACTCCCTAAATGTGGAGCAGTTCTTGGCTCTGCCCTCTGCACATCATTTCCCCCAGTCAGTGGTACAGAAGGAATTGTCTTGCACTCAGAATCCAAGTCACATCTGCCAGCATGATCACAGCTGAGTCAAGGTTCCCTCCTGTACCCAGCCTGTAGGCATAATACATGCTGAGCCCAGGGAGTGACAGCACTGAGTGACAGTTTCAGAACATTTTGTTACAATTTTTTTTTAGTATGAAAGGTAGATGCTGCATAATTAAAAGTGAAGTTAAATTTTGAGGGAATTCTTTCCTTTTCTTCATATAATTAATTTAAGTTGTAATCAAACTTTAAAAATATAAGATCTGGTTTAGTGTTTTCTAGGTGAATCAATTTCATTTTCAGTTTAAAGCCTATGTTATAATTTAGGAACTGACAAAACGAAGAGAAAAAACAAAGATGTGTCTGTTTAGTTTAAAATCTATTTCTTTTTCTTTTAAAGGAAAACTATTATCCCCAAACTGGTGATTGCACTCCAGGTACAAATGCAGTCCTGACCCAGAATTGAAAGCCTGGCAGGGTACACTTCAGGATTCCAGGAGATGTCTAAGATGCTACAAAAGTCATTTGTAACCATCCTCCACTGTGGCTTGGTCCATCCTCTTTCTGTGACTGTAATTTCTGTATGTCTCAAAAAGACTGCAGTCAATGCTGCAAGGGCAGATTGTTTCTCTGAGTTGTAACAACCTCTCTCTGTTTTTAACAGGTTTTCTAAATGTTTTAACTCATCCTGTACAGATTTGTGCATTTGTGTCCATCTCACACACTGCACAAGGATCCCAGGGCAATTAACCTTTGGGAGGACACGAACAAGAAACCTCAGGGAGAAGAAATCCAGGTGAAAAAAGAAAAAGCAGTGACTGAGCTGAGGCACTGGAGCTGCCAGACCCCAGAGTTCACAGATAACCAGATTTATTTCTCCACACAGCCAGGAATTGTTGTGCCACAGCAGTGCCTATTTTGAATTAAGGTAAATCTCATCCCCCTTGCAGATGGCCCTAGAGCAGCTTTGCCTTCCATACTGAAGGACCAGTGTAATTCAGAGTGAATTTTGGCTGACAGATAATAAATAAAGCAAGACAGATACCACCCTGAAAAGTAACAACCATGATTACTTTAATAGAGAATTAAAAAAAAAAAAAAATAAAGAGATCTTAAAGGCTTTCAGTCTTTACTATAATGGAGATACTTCAATAAATGTATTCAGGGGTTGTATTTAATTGAATTCTTAGGATCTGGCTTGCATTTGGAAGTTTACCAAAATATCTAGTCAGGAAAAATTACCAGGCTAGACTCTCTAATAGAGATTTAAGATGTCTTTTTCCTATTTAGTATAACCTATGCTGGAACTATGCCTGAAGAGCTGTTTTGGAAGGATTCTGAGAGTAGATAAATCTTTATAATTATGAAAGAGCCACATAATATAATATGCAAGGACCAGGTAAAAATCGTCCATCCCAAAAAAGAATTTTCAAAATTCTACTAGAGAGTCAAATACGAGTTGTAAGTTAGAAGAAAAACTGAGATGTGGCATCTCACATATCTCAGGTCTCTAAAGAAGCTCTTAAAACCTATTAGTTTTAACTACATTTACAAGGTTTCATTCATACTTGGTAATGCCTTAAGATGACTGGGCTTTTACTTTGTCTGCAATTGCATTCATTGAGTTTGGCTGCTAAACTTCATATCTTAGAATGCGTTGAATACCTTAAAATATTGCTGTGTTTTATTCTGAGAACCCATTCAGGTGACATTTATAGACCATTTTTCCATGACTAAGGCAGTGTTGTGTCAGTGAAAAACAAAATTAAGATAAAATAGAACCCATCCCTCAATGTCTCCTGGAGACAGAATAGCAGAGGCCAGTGCAGGAGAAGCAAGTGCAGGACTCAGAAAATTATGTTTAACATCCAAAGAATGCCTAAATACTGGCAAAGCAGCTGAGGGGAGCAATTTTAGAGCATTTTAATTCTGTATCACTCATGGATCTTCTGTTCACACCTGAGAACACCAAGGGAAGTTCACCCTGTGAGGCACCCAGAGCTTCTGCCATGGTTGGAGACTGTGACAGTGTGAGGAGCAGAATGGGAGAGCCAAACCACTGGAACATTCCTCCAGACCAGTGGATTAAATGGGCACCCAGATGCTGTTTTAGGAAAGAATAAGGAAGGGTGCATCTGTAATCTGCAATTATTCTGAATCTGTAAATATCCTGAGTGCTCTGTCGCTCTTGCTAATTTTATTAACATTTTAGTGGGTTTGGGGAGTTCTATAAAACAGAGGAGGTGTAGCAGGGTTATATCAGTGTGGTCACTCCATCAGCTTAGGGCAATAACCTGTGGCACTTTTAGCAAATTTTGTCCTCTCAAATCCACACTACACACCACTGTACACACAGCTGGGCTTGGGGCTTTGCAGGAGACTGGCTGACCCAGCTTTACAAGGAGGTAACCAGCAGGAATTCTGGATACATTTGTCCCTTTTTATGGATAATCACAGGATCATTTAAGACTGAAGGAGTTGATTGCATGAAGTCTATCTTGGACACAGTAGTGACACTAAAAAAGGCCCAGAAAGTGCTGCCACTTCCTTCTAGCAGGCCTCAAAACTCTCAAGTAAAAAGTGACCCATTTCCTTATTCTTTTACACATATTTTCCTTTTCCCTTCAGGAAAATCAAGCCTTGATGAACAGCCAGAATGAGAAGTGGGACTAATTCCCTGCAGCTGGGTCTCTGCTAAACACAACCAGCCCCAAAATGCTGCCCCATCTGCAAACTGGACGTGAGCAGCTCAATTCATCCCAAAAAATCCCAAAATACACTGCATTCCTGCACTGCTGCATCTCTAACTCCAGACAAGCCTTGGCTGCCTATTTCTTTTTTTTTTTTTTTTTAATTCTGCAATGAAACTATGCAGGAAAGATCCCAACCATGCAAAGGAATATTCTCAGCTAATATAAATCAGGGTTATTTCACAAAAGGCAATGAACTGAAGCTGGTTTATGTCTCCTACAGCTGTAGATCAAAACAGAATTAGCTTGAAACCTGCTGCATGGAGCTATTTAGAATTATTTGTGAAGTGCCTAATCCCCAGAAGCTTATGTTCAGGTAATTAATCACAATGTACTTGTTACCCTGATTTGCTAATAGAGCTGCTGGGTGAAGACTACAATCCTGGCACAGAATTCTGCCTTGTCTTTTCATATTGTATATTGTTTTATTATTATTTATTTATTGTTAATTTCACAGCAAGAAAGTGGAGTTGAGCAAGCCCCACCTTAGTGTTTAATCAACACAGAAAGTTTTGGGAATCCTGTGACCCACTGAGGTTCTAATAAACCATTATTTATATATCTGCAAATATGTGACTGGAGATGTTTGACTGATCACCACTTGTTTTGACCACTCTAACATTCACTCAAGGAAGTTCAAATTTTTCAGCTTTCCCCTTTTAAAAAATCTATCATCTTGGGAATGAGATCAGAAAATTCTGGTTGTTCTTAGAGTTACTCCTGTTTATGCCAGATCACCACAAACTATAATAATGGTTTTGGCAACTGAGTAAAAAATAATCCAAAGAAATAACTTTGCAGACTACATAGTTGACAGAACTTGACCCTCAAATTTCAGTGTCATCACAAGATTTTGTGAGAGTGCAATCACTGCCAGGCAAACACACTCTCAGTGCTGGAAAAGGACATTTCTTCTCTGGTTTGTGAAGGCATTTTTGTGTAAGTCCCAACATCTTTCATCTTTCTCCCACAATGCTGGACTAGTTGGATTATTTGAAATTTCTTCCTTCTAAATGGGATATTCCTCCTGTCAAGTAACCTGGACTGGTATTTCTTTGCCTGTTTCACCATTGTTTAAGGCCAACAAGGAATTTATTAGCCTATTTCCATCTCTTTTGCCAGGACCCTAAAAACATTTATTGAGGAAATAAACTGATGCTCTAGTTCAGTCCTTTTCTCTCCAAAATTGCTCATTCCTTGTTCCTCACAGCCACTTTTAGCACTTTATGAAATTTGTACTACATCCTATTTTACACGAGTCACAGCACGATTTCACAAATGATACTGCATCAGTTTCTACAGCAAAGAAATAAAGTTCCATTTACTAGAATTCCTTCCATTTTTTTATTACCAACATTGATATCAAATAAAAAATGAGATGATTCTAGCCACTGATTTTTTACAACCTTATATAACATTTTTCTTTCTTTCCCCCTTTACATCTATACTTGACCCATTTCTCTTCTACTGATCTGTTTCCAAATATTCTTCTTCCATCTAATTCAAACCAAATGACTGGTTTGGGCCTAATCACTCCTCCCTCAATGTCTTTAATAATGTATGGATTGCATTTGATTTTTTTTTAAGTTTCCTGTTTCAGGATGCATTCCTAACCATAATAAAGAAGCATAATAAAATATTTCATCTTAATGCAAAGTCCTGCTCCAGGCACTTGATTTCAGAATATTAAGATGGAAAATATCCAGAACTCTCACTTCTCTGCAACTAAACATAAATTTCTAGAGCTAAAGTGATACTTTTTTTTTAATATATATCTCAATTGCCCTTGAATCAACATCTTACAATCTTATTTCTTCTTTCTTTTGAATCTTCTATTTGATCAAACATTTTATTATTTTTGATGGGATACTGTAAATAGTTTCCTGACATCCAATGAAGATGTGATTGATACTGCCAGCATGAGATGAATCATCACAGACTGAATTTCATTACTTTAGTAAAAAGGAACCATTTTTGCCTTATTCCCTCTACAAGTAAAACATAATAAGTGCAGTTAACTGTGTTAATATTATTATAATTCAGAAAAAAGTCTGATTAAAAGAAAGCACATGTTCTTGTTAGCAGGATGAATATTTAAAAATGACAGTGTAACTTGCAGGGATCTCCCTCTATTTTGTGTGAGGACAAGTCAGTGAGATGTTGAATTTAAACCTATTAATCCATCTGTAGTTTATATTTTTTTCATTTCTCTATTTTATTTAATCTGCTAATATACAAATATATTTATATAGATATGTCAAAAAATCAGAATGAGCTGGGATCCTCCTTAATATAAGTGATTTTGGGGACTGTACTCAAATCTGATTGGAGCGAGTCCTTCATATTTTTTCCCAGGATATTTTCTGATTATTTCCTTTTCCCCACCACTTACCATCTCTCTGCCCATGTGCTCAATGTCATTAAAACCTCACAGAGCCACCAGCCTTGTTGAGTTGTTTGGCTTCTGACACATCTGTATATGGACCAAAAATCCAAACTGAAAATGAGCTCACCAAATACCCAAATACATCCTGTTTGTTGAAAAAATATTCTATTCTCTCATAGCTTCCAGACTTGACTATGGATTTGTTGATATACAGGAATGTTTCTTATACACTACATTTTTTTGGATGCTTGTGAAGGGGCTTAACCAGTGGAGGCATTATTCTTAAGCAAACTTATTTAATGCAAGGTTAAATGTATTTGTTTCCATCTGCTCTGTTGGCAGAAAGGATTTTTGGCAGCTAAGCCAGGAAAAGCCACAGAGCAATCACCATAAAATCTCACTGACACTAGCAAGGGTGAGGAGTGTCACTGGAATGAAAATATCCTGGCACCTTTCACACAACATCATGCCACTGCTTCAAGAAAGAATCATGGGGTGGGTTTGGTTGCCTATTTTTTTTCTTTCCTCCAAAATAAATTCCTAAATTGTTTTAATTTATTTCAGGAATGAAAAACATGCATCTGAACAATCCCATTTGCAACATCGAGTACTCAGCTTAAATTACTTTTCAAGGATGGAGCTTTCCATTTTATGCATGCTAAGGGACATCATTAAAATCACAGGAGAGGCCCACATTCATGGGGAGCTGTAGGAGTCCACCACAGAATATTTTTGCCTCATTTTCTGGCTCTCAGGAAGGTGATTAGCTCTGAGAACAAGCACAGTGTAACTGGAAAAGTGAATTTTTTTATTCCCTGGTCTTCCCCATCCTGCTGTCACGGGAGGTCCTTGGCAGTGGCTGTCACTCAGGCTGGGCTGTGCACTCAGGGGGGACCCCACTAAAGGTCAAAGCTTTCACCTTGGCACCACACTCTGAGAGAATTAATAGGAAAAAACCCACCCTGCTAATCACTAATTAACTTGGAGTGATTGTTGTTGCTTTCACCTCACTTCTGCACGCAGTCAATGTGCCCAATATTGAAATGCATTTTCCTGGAAATATAATTTATCTGCTGTTTGTGACTCCAGGCTGGAACACATCCTAAAGGATCTGACAGCTGGGAACTCCAGAACTGCAGAGTAAGAGCTGTGAATCAGCCTGAGAAGGACAAACCATGCTAACTGCAGAGTTTGGCTGCTAAAATTCAGAATTTCCAGATCCCCATCCTGAACACTGGCACAGGATTCACTGCTGCTTCCCATTTCTCTGTGTATCAACAACAAGAATTTGGTTCACTGCTGCTTTGCCTTGGGGGTTCTGTTCCTTGGGGCATTCACAATTGCCTCAGAACTCTCAAAGTTTTCCCTAATTTTTTTCTCTTTTGTGTGAAAACCAATAAAAATCAGATATTTCATGAACAATTTTTTTAAATTCTCTCTCCTGGGAAATCAGATGTTCTCCTTATTGCAAGCAAGTTTTTAACAGGATGCAAAAAGAACTTTTAAGCAGCTCTAAAGATAGGTTTTATTCACAGCAAAATATCCCCACCCACTTGTGTAGTTTATTTTATATAATTTGGTGTCTCTTTAGCCATGGCACCGTTGAAGAGGCTAGAATGTGATATTCTCAGTTGGTTTGCTGGCCAATAAACTCAAAATGCCCAGCATCTTGGAATCTGACAGTGCTTATCAGTTTATGCTTGAATTTTACAATTGAAAAAATAAAATAAATTACCTGAACAACTTACCCCATCATTTCAGTTCTAATGGCAAGAAAGATGGCAAAAATGGACCAATAACTCATTTTTAAGGTGTGGAAGTTTCAAGAGCAAAAAATTCCTCCAGATTCGTGATTTCTTATAGACCTTTGTAATAGTTACAATGAAAAAAATTCTGTAATCAAACTGAAAGGCACAATATTAAATACTGTGCCATATTTTGAAACTGTTTTCAAGTCTGTTCAACTATCTTGTCCTTTATAAAGCAAATTTCTTCCCATATCTACCACAATTTCTGATATTAAAGCCATGTCCACAAGTCTCCATCTAGAGAGAACTGCATAACAACCCACTTCTGCTATTGACTAAAACTTTAAAGCTGCTTCTTTTTTGGTTATTTCTGCATTTCTGTTTGATGATGTTGTCTCATTCTTAGTTTTCATTTGATGTTATTGGGTTAGTTTGAGTTGGTGCTGTAAGTAAATTTTGCTGGGTGGTACAATCTGCCCTAGAAATATCAATGATCTAATAGCTGCAGTAAAAATCAGCATGTTACTCTTGCAGTCCTTATGAAGTAGAAATAAGTGATTTTTATGTTCTTTATTTAAATATAAATTAAAGAGAAAAGAAGCCCTTTTATTTACAGGAACATATAAAAGAACAAACCATGCGCTGAGAAGTTCAGCTGTAGCAAGTGATGTGCACATATGCAAAAAGCCATGGCAGGGTCACAAAGTGTTTCTCTGGATGTATTCCCTGGGAAATATATTTTTGTTTTGTTTTGGGTTTTTCTCTGGGGGGAGGGGGGTTGGGGTTTTTTTGGTTGTTTTTTTTTGGGGGGGGGGTTGTTTTTGGTTTTGTTTTGTTGGGGGTTTTTTTGTTTGTTTGAGGTGAGATGGTTAATATTGCTTAAAATTATTATGTTTTAAATTAAATTTTACAATTTATTAATTTTAATTTTTTTTTCCTCTTTGCATAACAGGAGATCAACCTCACTGCAATAAATATTTCTCATTTCCAGCGAAACTGAGGAATTCCACAGGCCAAAGCTGTGCAATGCAAAGCACTGTAGGGACAAAGAGAAACCATCCCAGGTAGCACCATAAACAAACAGGTAAAAAGTGGGAGTAGGAACAGTTTCAAAGCATTAAAATTATTTATTCAGCATCATGCAGTTAAGGAACTCTGCTGAGTAAGATGCAGGTTGTCTGACTCTCATTTTTGACTTCTGACAACCACATGCTGCTTTTCTCCCAAGCCCACAATCTATACCACATCTCTCTGCTTGTTTACCAGCTCAAAATCCATGAATTACAAAAACTCTATTTCCCCTCTCCATAACTATGCACTGCTAAACTTCAGAGCAGCAGATGGACTAAGGGATGTAAAAGAACTGCAGAAAATAAAAAGGTAAATTACTTCTGAGAACAGGCCTGTCTGAAATTCTGAGGACATAATGGAACCCCCAGATTTATGCCAGCTGATGGTGTCACCACACAGCATTTCAGATGTGGAAATTGTGCATAATTCCAGATCATTTGAATTGAACAAAGAATTCACAAGTTTCTTTCATGCAGCTACCAGAAAGTCACAATTCCCTTGCTGAATTTCACTTGCCTTACACGTAGAAAACCTTCCTAATTTCTATCTCTGTTCAGACATGATGTAGAAACTTTAAAAGAGTTTTCATTTCCTATGTAGGATGTGAGATCCCACAAATCTTGGAGCAAGAGATGAAGATGATGGCATCCTTAAGCTACTAAAACACGGTTTGCTTACATCAGTCCCTCAAGTCCTCTAACCTGATATGTGGGTCAGAGGAACTAAATTTTTTACATCTCTCATTTGCACTGAAAATATTTATACTAGTAAATACTTAATTACATGAGAGCCTCCTGGTAATATTCATTATTAAATTAGTTATTAAATTATATTGCGTGTCTTGGGAAATAGCAAACAATTTACCAAGGGCAAGACAAATTTCAGCCTGAAGAACTTGGGGTTTTTAAGTCACCACCAGGAAAGCTCTAAGGTAACAGAACCCATCAAAATAACTTTGTTGGAGGGAGGTGTCTCCAGGTAGTCCCAATTTGGCTGCACATCCCACTGCTGCTGCTACCAACATTATCTTTGCTGTTATACTCATTAGCAGCTTTGTTATGCTAAACAATCACTTTATTTTAGTAATGCAGGCATAACTCTGGATTAATTCGCTTAGACTTAATTGCACCTCAGGGAAAAACAAACTGAGAGCACACTGACAAAAAAGCGTGATTGAGACTGGAGAGTTGTGGGAATTTGCTAATAATTGTATAGATTGGCTTCCACCACCAGTGATGCTTTTACATTGAAAAAGCAGTTTTCTCCCATTTCTTCTGACTTCCTGTGCCTATCTTTCTGAGAGGAAGAGTAAAAAATTCAAGGAATCCTTAAAAAATGAGAGATTGTTGTGAGTTACCAGATTTAGTTCAAAATTAACAAGAGGGTCTAGCTATGAACCTGAACCCAGACTATTCATTCAGTTCTAGACTGGTTCCAGTTTCTCTCTCAGCTTTTTCTAAGAATCAGCTATTACAGAATCCACCTTTGAGCTGCTTCCAACAATTGCTAAGAAGTGGCAAAACTGTTCTCAGTGAAAGAATTCCATCACATTTTGAAGCCATTTAAAACTCAATGTACTCCCTTTTGCCTGCCCATCTGCTTTCCTCTTCCCCCCAGATCTTTAAGTCACTGCTTAGTTCTTCAAGGTAAGCTTTCAAATAAGCAAAAGGAAAATGCATTACCTGCTATGAATACACTGAGAGTTTTCAGTGCTTTTTTAATTTTGGGTTTGTTTTTTATTTACCACGACAAAAATTAATTGCTCCGCAGCCCAGTTGCCTGGAGCCTTCCACCTTGTGAAACTTGTGCTATGAAGTGGTTCAGTTGTCAGGAGGATTTAATCCCTAATCAGTCTCTGCCATCAGATGGTGCAGGCTGCCAGACAAATCCTTGGGTTTAATCCTGCATTTGGTCTTGGTGTGTGTCTGCAGCAGGAGCAGCACAGGGGGAGAGAACAAAGAGAACATCTGGGACCCTCCTGCACCTCAGCCTCATGAGCAGAGCCTGGGGTTGCCTTGTTCTGCTCCCCCAAATGGTTCCCACAGCTGCCCTAATTAGTAGATGGGCTCGTTACTAACTTAGATTTCACATGATTTTAACTCTCCTGGACACCTAAACAAAGGCATTGTGCAACACTCTTTTTCCAGCCAAAGGAGAACTTTTCTATTTGAAAAGCTCCTTAATGTGGGAAATAGTAAAAGTAAGATTTTCAGAAAGCTGGGAAAAGTGGGCCTTAGAAAACCTTCTATTAACAATACATAATACTTCATTATTAAGCTTAAAACGTTTTGCTATCTTGCTAGACATATTTTTCTGCAGACTTAAGGTCTATCTTAGCCAAAGCTCAAACTCAAGCTATCGTTTCATGTCCTGCCTTGCTGTACTATTGTAAATTTTTCTACCTTCAGACTTCCCAGTTGCAGCTGTTTCTACGTTCTCTGCTCTTTCTCTTTCTAAGGCCTGCTTTTCCAACTTTCTGAAAATCTTCTTACCTTGACTGTTTCCCACATTTAACTTTCCATTTGTGCTGCCCTTATATTTTCTCTATTGGTCACTACCTGGTCTCTGAACATCATCATATCCCCACACACACATTTTATAGCAAGGACTGAACTATTTCAGTATCCAATTCTGGGCATTCTGGCTTGTCTACCTTTATGAAGCTCTTAAGAAAGCATTTTTAATCAAGAACATGTGCTTTACCCTGGCTCAAATATGAATTGGTATTTCTTCTTCAAGTTCTTCCAATTAAATTTGCCTATATCAATTAAATTTCTCTCTCTGAATCCTACAGCTTGCTCTTGAAGTTAATCTCTTAAACTTTCTTTGAATAGTAGAATATCTGAGTCCACAAAAGAGTCTGAAGGTGAACATGGAGCTGAAAGCAAAGAGCTTGCACAGCTCTGTGCCATATTTCCTTAGCTCTGAGAGTCTCACAAATGGGATGGGATGCAAACATTATGAAGAGC